AATTTGAAATTCAAAGCTTAATGAAAAATCAACAGCAAATTAACCATTGCTCACATGTAAACTTTAAAAACAATTCCAAACTCTCTGCGCAGAACAAGTTGAAATAAGTCCCGAGGGTAACTTAAATATGATACCTATTGGTATCATTACAAATTTGGACAACACGCAAAGAAATGCACAGAACTATGCGATTTCAACTCATGAAAAAAGTCAAACTACACACCAGGAAATCTATTCCGGCAACATGTAAAGACGACATTAGCTGCTGGAACAGAACATAGATGTTGTCTATTTTATATCCGCGACAAAAATACCGGATACTTATTTTTTTAGTCGATACCGACGCACTAATCAGCGTTATTTCACCGGACCTAAAACAAAAAACACACATTGTCCATATAGACGCTTCAGGCTGCAAATGGATCTAAAATCCAAACTTACGGAGAAGTATCGTTAACTCTCAATTTAAGTTTGCGGAGACCAGTTTTCGTGAATTTTCACATGATCCCAAATAAAAAGAGCTTTTTATGCCATTTTCAGCTATCAGTGGATATGGCGACACGCTCCTATAGAGGACCGAGTGGGTTTAAGCGTTGTTAAATTAGAAACGTGCTTTTTATTCCTGCTAGAAGGTCCGAGAAAATGTTGGACTCAAGTTGAGGCCAACCGAAGAGGTAAAGAAAAACAAACACGACCGATGTATGGCAACAAATATATATATTAAACAACAAATTTACAAGTGACATAGACATTAACATTTGTGTTTGTGTGTGAACGTAAAGAGTTTGTATTTTGATGAATGTTCGTGCGTACGTGTATGTGTGTTTCATGGCGTTTTCCCATAAGTGGGCGAAACGCGGATTTCTACGAGAAATTACATTTTTAAATGTGTCCGCTGAAATGCAAAGCAGAAAAGAGTACGAGGAGAGAAGTCGCCCAGTATTTATAGTGTAGGGAGGGCGTCATCTAGTATATGGACATCTAGTGAACAATTAGGGAATTAAGGAGGAGCTAACTCCGACACTCCCTCGTTGACTGTAACAAAGCTAGCCGTAGACTAAGGCTTTGTCCAGGCACACAGTAGAAGGGATTAACCAGCAACCGCCTACTAAGCAATTGTCTACGAACTCACAAACTCATTAGGCTGACCGCCATAAGTAAGTCTGTTCACACATATTTACATCGTACTATGAACAATTACTTAATAAAACAAATTTCACTACAAGGAAAACTGAACATTTTATTGATATTGTATATTTTTGAAAAGAACATATAAATGTTATTTCAACTAAATTTCTTCTATTTTTTCCTTCAACGAATAACCTTTATCGTGTTTCGTTTAAAAGATGCGTTGTTAAATGTTTGTTATCCCGACACTCAGATAGCAAAAAACTTGGGTAGACAGATCCCAACAAAGTAAGACTAACCAGGCATAGAATAAAACGAGGATGTTGAATGACTAAAGAAATGACCAATGAGAGCCGGGAAATGGGAAAATCAAAGGCTGATCCAGTCGAGATGAAAAATGGGGGACAAAAACAAACTAGGGGAGGTTAGGAATCCCAACACGGGTCATAACAAAAGAGAATGCCGGGAACAACACTTACTCATATTAACTAGCAAAACATAGTGTCATGGGTCCTTACCTATAACTACAGAATGAACTCTTCCTAACCCTATGTACACCACGCCTCTCAAGAGAGAGGGTCGAATCAAGCCGAGCTTCTCGGCTTGACGGTCGAACTCTCTGCCTCTGAGCAGAGAGGAACCCGGACGAGGCTCCGCTGAAGGGCAGAGTTTTGTTCGGGGAGGTTGACCAACCCGATCCCGTTTATACGGGTCCTACGGGCATTTTTTGGCCGAGCCTACGAGCTCGGGAAACCCACGTTAAACTCGGCCTTGTGCCACATGCAATCCTCGTGGGGGGGGGCTAGATACCGGATCAAGCCGAGCTTCTCGGCTTGACGGTCAAAAACTCTGCCTCTGAGCAGAGAGGAACCCGGACGAGGCTCCGCCGAAGGGCAGAGTCTCGTTCGGGGAGGGTGACCAGTCGAACCCGTTTATACGGGTTCTACGGGCATTTTTTGCCCGAGCTTACGGGCTCGGGAAACTCGGCCTTGTGCCACATGCAATCCTCGTGGGGAGGGGGCTAGATACCGAATCGAGCCGAGCTTTTCGGCTTGACGGTCGAACTCTTTGCCTCTGAGCAGAGAGGAACCCGGACGAGGCTCCGCCAAAGGGCAGAGTCTCGTTCGGGGAGTTTGACCAACCCGATCCCGTTTATACGGGTTCTATGGGCATTTTTTGGCCGAGCCTACGGGCTCGGGAAACCCACGTTAAACTCGGCCTTGTGCCACATCTTTCCCTCGTGGGGGGCAAGTAAATATCGAATCGAGTCGAGCCGATAGTAGTTCACTCCAAACCAGACTGACAGTCATACTAACACCTTCCACATCTTGTAATATTATTTCGTGTAATATACCTTCGTTATTTCTACTCTTGTGTTCGTGCTGTTCTTCCTTGGTCCTAACCTGGACCATAACACATAGTTAAGTGATGCCGGAAGCAGAGACCGTGATGTAGCCGGAAGTTGCAAGGCCAACAATTCCAGAAGCAAGAGTCTGTGGTAGCGAGAAGTAAAAGTCCATGGTAGCAGGAAGTAGCAAGGCCAAGAATACCAGAAGGGTCTCTGGTGGCCTGAAGTAATGGAGGGGAAGAGAGTGCTGGAAATAGTAAAGGCCAAGAGTGCCGGAAGTAAGGGTAGATAGGAAAGTCAGACTAGCGTCCAGTTGACAGAGAAGAATAAATGGGAACGTAGCTTAATACATAACTCCTCCGCTTCTCTTCGACTGGATTTATTGCATAAAATATACAGTTGTGGTACAAGGCTGAAAAAGTGTGATTTGATTGAGCTAATGCGATTCACAACCCATTCACTCTTTACAAATTAGCACATTCACATTTAAGAAAGAACTTGTCCGTGGGGACCTACCCGACTCCTTGAAATCGAGAAGTCGCCGAGTTATATGAAGGGAGTGTAACGACAGACATAGTTTTCACAAAATGCCAAAAATAAGCTGAGATTTGCTACAAAATATGAAAGTATATAAAATGGTCACGAAGTGTATTACGACTAGGTTCGTAACACAGAAAGAGTTAAAAAGTAATTAGGGCAATTATGAAAATAAATGAAATTAATTTGTCGGGTGTGTGTAAGCAACGCAAAGAAGAAAGGTGAAGGTCGAAGCATCTGCCTTGGTCAAGTATACAAAGTAGCAAGGGCTACCTACGTTAAGTCCAAAACAGCAAAATACCGGTTGACAAGAAGACGAAAATGAAGTCTATTGTTAGTTTTCAAGCAAAAACAGGGCAAATACTACTAAATTGTCAGCCCATTTTTTAGTGTTTTAATCTGTTGAGATTCCAGATTAACTTTTTGTGTAATTGATTCGGACCGTTTTTATTGGCGTAAACATTTTGAATGTATTTGAATTTGTTATTTTTCAAAATTTAAAATTTGACTCTTGTTGCTTTTCTGCGCCAATTCTGGAGCCTCTTTTTGTGGGAGAATGTATTTCTGTTATTCTAATTTTTACGAGTCCTTTTTGATTACATAACACACTCTCTTACATATTTGCACACATACACATCTTACATAACAGTAACACACACACACACACACTATCATTTTGGAAAATATGAGAATAATGTCAGAAAAATATTTTAACGTCATGTACAAGTTTATTTACAAAAACTGTCAAAAATCTTAATTTCAATATGCAGATGCCAATCTCCGTAATTATTCAAAAGTTAATTTAAACAAAGTTAGGAGAAAAAAAATACTAGAGAAATGTTGCCCAAGTCATAAAGAAGCTAAAAAAACTATTTTTTTTACTAATTCTTTTTTATTCATATTTTCTGGAAAAATCTACGCATGAGAGAACATTGTTTGTATTATTATATAAATGTTGAAACGTGTTCACTTTAAAATATAATCATTATATATAGAACATCTGTGTCAAAAAGAAGTGTAATCGGAAATAGTTACATAAAATGTGATTTGGAATGGTAACAAAAAATCTTGTAGGAATGGTTATGTAAAAAAATCTCTTTTTAACTCTTAATTTTTTGCGTAAAATACATGACTATAAAAGTTTTTTTTTAATGCCACTTGAGAAAAATGTTACAACTAAAATTTAGTTAGTATGTAAGCCTTTTTCTTTGCCTAGACTAATAGAAAAAAAAGAACATTTGTCTGTTTTCATAAAAACATTTATTGCACTTAAAGACATTAGTCACACTGACTGCGGTAACAACGAAAATAGGCGAGTGTTGCCGAATAACACGGTCATATCAGTTTCTTAATTGTATTAGCATCACTTGGAATATACGGAAAATACCGATCTTAGCCGAAGTTGAACTTTTTTACGACACAGTAAAGATGCGAGCCATTGAATTTGTACACAATGCCAGAGAGAGGTGAGATTGGCACGAACGGCTGATTTACGTAAATAGTAACCAGCTTTATTCGTCATTGTCTGGAATAGTTTTTATTTGTATAGATTTTATATAAAGTATGAAGGTTGTGTCTTGTAAGAAAGAAAAAAATATGGATAAATCTCAACTTTATACCATAAAGCCTTAGCTTATTTTTTTCTTTCAAAGTTTTTTTTTTTTTTAATTACTTGTGATCATTTTTTTTAATAAAATCATCTTTGAGATATTGGACGAATTATATCCAGAATATTAGACATTTACGACCACTCTGTGAAGGGTATTTCGGAATTAAATAAGTTTTATGAACATCTGCTACTGAATTCATTCTTGCTTTTTTTGTACGTGTTGTTACCTTGTAACCAAAAATAATACAAGAGCATTTATCATTATCTTGGTGAATCACATAACCACAACACTCCTTACAATTGTGTTAAAGGAAAATTATCTTTATTATCTAAGGAATCTTCTTTTAGAGTTATTCGGACTTTAATCAACAACAAAAAATGCAACCAACATCGAACGGTCGACCCAACCCGAGGACACAGGGTTATCAAACTTTTGAAAATGAAGGGACATCCATACAGTTTTGTCCTGAAGAAATCGAAAATTTACGGAATAATAGCAGACAAGACATCGACAAGGAACCTTCTGAAAGTAACACATCTCCCAACAGAAATCAACAAACAGCAGTTGGAAGCCCTGAACCATCGTCTTTTAATAATCGTTACGAAGAATTAATGAAAGGTGAACAATGTCCAACATGTCGTGGACTTGGAAGAATACCACGCCGTAAGTAATAAAAGCTTTATTAAATTATTTAATATGTTTTTTAAGTTATTTAATATATTTTTAAATTATTTAAATGTTTTTACATCATGAAGAAAATCTTTAACATCTTTTTATAATTAAAGTAACGCTTTAAGTTCTAACAATCCAAATTTGTAATATGAGTTAAGATAAAAAAATTTCTTGACATTACAAACGAAAACATTATCTTGTTTTGTAACTAACACAGATATTTTATTTTAAAATGTTATTTTATATTTAATGTTATTTTGTTTCTGGGACATTATTTTATGTTTTGTTGTATATTTTTAAATCTCAGGAGGAAAGATTTTTAAAATGGAGTACAACTGAGAAGATCTAAAAATTAATTTCTAAATTAAAATACAGTTTTTTTTACACTGTTACATCATTTTAAAATAAATGATTAATTTAAAATGTACCTAAAGCATTAAAATATGTTTAAGATAAAAAATAAAACTAAAAGTAACGTTTCGGTTTAAAATAAATTGTATAATCCAAATTCGTAATATGAGTCAAAGTAAAAATATTAAGTGATTCATTAGACATTAACACAATTTTTTATTTTTTTTAATTAATTTTTTTAAAATTGACATTATTTCGTTTTAACCTTTGTCCTTTTTTTATATGTGCAAAATCTTATAAAAAATTAAAAATATAATTTGAAAGAAGTGTGGGAGGTGAATAATACTATTTTTATTTTTAATATATTTTTTTAAAACTTATTTTGCGACACTAAAACTAACTATAAGTTTAAAAAATAAAAGCCAACGACCAAATAATATTAATAAATTAATTTATTTATAATATGAGTTTAGGTAAAGACAACTTACGCCATAAAATTAAAAATGTCTAACACGAACTGTCCGTCTTGTTTTGTAAATAAGTAAACAAGAAAACGTTTTGTAGTTTGTTTATTTTTGGGTGGATGAGGGTCATTTTTTTTTTTTTTGATTTTTGACTTCAAAATAAAGCAAAATACTTAGGAAAATTTAATTGAAACGAAGGGATGGAGGTGACCATATTTTCTGACATCACTCAACAAATGCTTTTTTAGTTCAAGTGTAAAAGATTTTAATTAAGTTTGGAAAGATTTTTTTTTTTTTAATTTTCTTTTGTAAATTTAAAACCAGATGTTTAATTAAATTTGTTAAAATTGCTTCCACTTTCTTTCAGTGATTAATTAATTTTGTCTTGGTGATTGAAGACGAAATTTGTATTGAAAACATGAATTTCCATGTATTTATTGATTTCATAAATTGTTTTAAAGAAAACAAATCAATCCATTTTTTTGTTTTTTTTTTATTTTAATTCATGTTTTTTATATTACAAAAACCAATGTCCTTTTTTTTTATTAGTCAAATGATAAATTAAAAATTGACGTCTTTTTTGAACCAATTTGATTTGGTTTAGAATTGAAAAGCTAAATTATTGAATCAATAATTCAGCTAAAAATTTATTGATGGAAATTTTTTTGTTTAATTTTCATTTTAAAAAAAAAAGTCTTTTTAAATTTTATACGTTACTTTTATTTGTTTCTTCGTTCGAAATTTATTTCATGTTCTTAAGAAAATGCCAAGGACACTAGTCATAAAGTGGTTTCTAAAAAAATGCTATCACTTGAACTCATGTTTAAATGATTTTTATTTTGGCCCCAAAAATGACAGTGAATAATTAAAAAAAAAATAAATTTTCAGTCTATTCTCTTATGCGAGAAAATTGATTAAAATTACGAATACTACTATCATTAAATTATTGAAAATAATTCATTAAAAGACAACTTACTCATAAAAATACCTCAAATATAGAACTTTTTAAAATTAAAACAAAAAATTCTTTTGTTTAGTGGCTCTCGGCCGTTGTATACGATTTTTTTTTAAACAAAAAAAAATTTCATCGACCGAAAAAAAAAAAAATTCTCCAGTAATACAAAGTAACTTTTAGTTTTGTGAATATAAAAAAATTAAAACTATTCATTTTAACCAGGGACTTTGGTAACCAGGTATTTTTTTGATTATTATTATTTTTAAAATTTCACAACTTGTGTGTACATCATATTTCTAATGGAGAAAACAAAAGTCTGCTTTTTAATTAAACTTTTTTATCGTATGAAAAGTGATATCGTTCGTTACTTATGTGTAATTTAGTTTTCTTAAAAACGAATCAGTTTTGTTTTTAAATCTGGTTTATCATGAAACTAGATAAAGTCATTTTTTTTAAATAGAAAGATGAAAAAATGGACTCTTGGTTAATTCGGTAAAAAAATAGGAAAATAATGATTTTTTTTCCGTCTCCATCATTGTAAAATTAAAAAAGCATTTCTACTTAGATTTTCCTATGCGTAAATAATAAATTCTCCAGTGTCTGAAGAGAGTAAGTTCTTTTGTAAATTCTAAAACCAGATGTTTAATTAAATTTGTTAATTTCCACAAGCTTCCATTTCTTTTGTCTTGGTGATTGTTTGTTAATTGGCTTGTTTTTTGTTTGTTTGTTTTTTAATCATAAACAATAGTCAATTACTTTTATTTGATTAATATGCAATATGTCAGAAAATTAATTTTTCATTTTTCTCTTTTAAATTATATATACTTGTTTCGGTACCTGTCACTTCATTGATAGCAAGATGATCAAATTTCAAATCTAAATGTACCCATTGAAAATACCACGTTTATTAGAAAATATATTCACTTAGTCATATGACTTCATAAGGGTTGCACATTTCAATTCAGTTTCAGTGCACATTTACTCAAATTAAAAACAAAAAACGAGACTCTCTCTTCCTATTACACAAGTGTTGTTGTCAGACCAGGAAATTAGAACATGCGACAAAGATGTTCATTTCAATTTTAATCAGATTCAGTGTACATGTGCGCATGTATATTTTAATTCAATGACAACCATAAAAATACTTCTACAATAAAAAAAGAAAAAATTAAGTACCTTTAAAAAGTGACATCTAACGTTTCAAATGAAGAATTACATTGTGTTGATAGATGGTTAAAATTGGTGTTAAAATCTTTGATTTTTTTTTTTCTTTTTCAATTTAAAAAAAAATCATTGCAGTCAATTTAAATTCGTTTTGAAATACAGTAAAGTATTTTGGTTATAGGGAATATCAAAATTAATCTATTAGCTTGAAATTAAAAGTAAAATAAAAGCTTGAAGACTGCAACAAAAATAACATTATCCACAATAGATTAAACAAAAGCAGATGCATAACATTACCTACCAACTTCATAACATCCACTATCCAAAACAACTTATCCTATCTAAACAACATCCAAATAGTCACTCCCGCTTTCAAAAGCATTATGGATATAATCAGAACTAAAAAGCACCCATAACAATAATTCAGAAGCAGGCATATATAAAATAAATTGCCAAAACTGTTCCTCACAATGCATTGGGGAAACATGCAAAAATAAAAAAACCCAAAAAAACATGAATACAAAGGGGCCGCGTAAATAACAATTTAACAAATGCACTAGTCATACACAGAAATAAATTCTACCACAATTTTGATAAAAAAAAATGCCACACATCAAAAGAGAAATTAATTTACTCGGAAGGAAAATTCTCAAGAGTGCTGCCATTAAATATTATCAAAATATAAATCTACACATCATTTTTTTTTTTTTCATCTCTTTTTTTCCTGAAAGAATTACTACCTCCCCAAGCTAACACATACAACAACAAATATGTTGAAAAATCAAAAGAAAACAGTTAAATCCATAATTTCAGCCTTTGAAGATGTACAGCACAAATGTCCATCACATACCATAACAATCTAATCACAATCCAAACAATATTCATTTAAAAAAAAAATTATTAAATATTACTCATTCAATTTATTTTTTACCAGACATTGTGTCCTCCACATGCTTTGACTGACCTTTCAACCACCTGATGAACATTCATGAATGTTCTCAAATTTATAAGCCATCCATCACTTCTGTATATAAACACATGCAGCATAATAAATCCTACATTTGCCTTGATAAAGTCCATCAGAGGATGAAACACATCGGCTAAGTATTGTTTTTCCTCGTCTCTCACACAGATTTGTCAATATGGATGATTTTAGTGATTTTACTGATAATGAAAAAATTATTCCAATCAATTTAAATTCTGTTTGAATTATGGCAAACTATTTTGCTTATTGTAAATATTGAATTTAATCTATTAGCTTGGAATTAAAAAAAAAAGATTTTTCATTTTTAAAATACGGCGAAGAAATGGATAGTGGCTCGAATTGAGGAATCGGAGAGCCACGTTCGAATTCCAGTCGAATCCATTACATTCACTTATGTGCTAATACCATTGGGAAAGGTATGAATCCTCCTCTTCTCCCACCAGCTATGGGTAAATAGCAGGACAAACCAGATTCAATAGCCTTGGATGGCAACTGATCTATCGCAGAAAGAAATGGCAACCTACTGTGAGAAAAAATTCTGCCTCATCAGTCATGTATTGATAGATACATGATCATCTCAGTATGTATCATACATGGCACATAACTGACTGATTGTTTTATTTTGTGATGGATGCAGGTATATAAATATAATGGCCAGCTACTCTCATTTCACTCATTTGCTAGGGTGGTTCACCAATCCCTGTTAAAGACACCTGCTTGGACAAATTGTGTTTGTTAAACACCCAACTCTGGTTGGAAATGCAACTATACCAAGCAAACCTTAGTTACAGTTACTGGGGGAGAGTGCATAATCTGGCATGATCAGCAGTTTGAACAAGAGAGATTTTAATATATATGATAGGATAGGAAACATTTATAAATTTAACATGTTTCACTTTTATTTAAGCTTCATCTGAAATCAAATATGGAGGCAAAAAAATTTTGGTATTTTTTTTTTTTTTTTTTTTTTCATATGTAAGTTTTATCAGTTTAACATTTTTTGTTTTTCATATGTAAGTTTTATCAATTAGCATTTATGTGTATAATTTTTGTGTTTGTATCATAATTCTAG